ATGCTGAAGACACTCACCATATCAGCAGGCCTTTGCTGCTGCCCCCCTTGGGAAACGGCTCCGCCCTGTGGGCCCCTGAACAACACCAAGCGGGTGAGGATGTGCCGCTGCTGCTGCTGCTGCTTCTGCTGCTGCTGCTTCTGCTTCTGCTGCTGCTGCTGCTGCTGCTGCTGCTGTTGTGCTCGCATCCCGAGGGCAAATGAGTGCAGCGAGGTGCAGCAGCACGACAGAAAGAGCAGCAAGCAGCGGCAGCAGTCGATTGTGGTTCCTGGTGCTGCTGCTGTTGTTGCTGCTGCTGTTGTTACCACTGCGGTTGTTGCTGCTAGTGCTGTTGCTGCTGTTGCTTTTGCTGCTGCTCCTACTGTTGTTGCCGCCGTTGCCGTTGCTGCTTCTGCTCTTGTCGCTTCTGCTGCTGCTGCTGCAGCTGCTATTTCTGCCGCTGCTGCTGCTGTTGCTGCTGCTGCTATTGTTGCTGCTGCTGCTGCTATTGCTGCTGCTGCGATTGCTGCTGCTGCTGCTGCTGCTGCTGCAGGAGAGGGATCTCGCTGTTTGTGGCGGGGGTTTCGTCTGGGTATCGGGCAGACGTTTGCTGCTGTTCCCTTTGGGGTGTCTGTTGCTGCTGCTTGCCGCTCTCTCTGTCGTGCTGCTGCTCCCCGCTGCACTCACTTTCTCCTCGTCACCAACAAGCTGCTGCCGCAGGGTTTACAGGTTACACCCGCTGCTGCTGCTGCTGCTGCTGCTGCTGCGCTGCTGCTGCGCTGCTGCTGCTGCTGCTGCTGTTGTTGTTGCGCTTATGTCAACTGCTTGCTGTTGCTGCTGCTGTTGCGGTTGCTGCCTCACTACAGTAGCTGCTGCTGTGCATGAATACAGGCCCTAGGCGAGTACCGCAGCTGCTGCTGTTGCTGCTGCAGTAGCTGCTGCTGCAGCAGCTGCTGCTGCAGTAGCGGTTGCTGCTGCAGCTTTAGTTATTATAGCTGCTGCTGCTGCAGCTCATCTTTTGCTGCGGGTCTCCTGCTCAGCATCACCTGGTGTAGCGTTGACGTTGCTCTTGCTGCTGCTGCTGCTGCTGCTGCTGCTGCTGCTGCTGCTGCTGCAGAGCTCGTGTCACCTGCTGGAGTCTGCTGCGCCCGCGTTGCCTGTCTCAAGCAGCCAGCGGCAGTGGCTGCTGCTGGTGGGGGGCCCCCTCGATTGCCCCCCGGGGGAGCTGCTGCCGGACCCCCCGGTGCTTCCTGAAGAGACCTGTGGGGCCCCTGCTGCTGCTGCTGCTGCTGCTGCTGCTGCTGCTGCTGCTGCTTGTGCTGCTGCTGCTGCTGCTGCTGCTGCTGCTGCTTTTTGTGCAACTGGTTTACTTCTGTAGACAGAGCGAAGTTCAGGGCTAGTAAGGCCAACTTGGAAGCAACACTATGACCTCGCTTTGCTGCAGCAGCACTTGCTGCTGCTGCTGCTGCTGCTGCTGCTGTTGCTGCTGCTGCTGTTACCGTTGCTGCTGCTTCGCTTTGTGCAGGCGCCAGCAGCCGTTTGTGTGATATCGCTGGCCTTGCTGGAGTAGGGGGCGGCAGATACGACCCCTTTTGCGTGGACAACAGCAGCAGCAGCGAGAGCAGCAGCAGCAGCAGCAGCAGCGAGAGCAGCAGCAGCAGCAGCAGCAGAGAGGTGCTGCAGCAAGACACACCAGCTCTCGAAGAAGACCGCAGCTTCTTCTGCTC